GACACCCTTGTCAGGCAAGCCATTGCGGAAATATTACTAAAATAATCATATTGTTTTTAATTAGAATAAGTGGAATAAACACTCAACTTGGAATTTAAAACCAGGAGAGATAAATACTATAATAAAATAGTTACACAACCCCAAAATAATCGTCTACCAAAGTGTGTGCCAGAACCTGGTGTCACAAGCTACGGGCAACTAGTAGAATATACAACCCAAAAGAATACCACACTACCCTACTGTCTGGATCAGAATAGACAGAAAATAACAATACAAAAGAAAGACTTCTTCGGCTGCGGATCGACATGGAAGGAAAGCAGCTCACCGTAGAAGTCCCAAGTCTGCTCACGAATGCGCACCAGAGAAATAACCGGATCCACCTGCCTCAGACCCTGTACATTTAAGTACAGAAGCGTAGCATGAGTACATAAACAATATGTACCCAGTGAGTATCCCGCCTAATCTCGAAGAAGTAGAGACGAGAGGTCGACTTGATACTCACTAGGGTCAGATAATATTATAAGTGTAAGTTTAACAATGAGAACTCTTTAATAGGCAACAGTTTACAACAAGGCATATAAGTCATATTCTCGCTAAGATTCCGATTAATCAATTACTTCAGTTACAATTATCAATTCCTTTCGAGTCATGAAAAAAAAACAGTTCTAATATTTAACACTCTCAGGCAAAGCTATATAAGCATGCGCAAATATGCCGAGGCGACGGCCCGATCCAACAGAAATAAACTGTGCACTTGCCGAGGGTCGACGGCGCGCCTATAGATGCATCTATTCATACCGAGGCGATCGGCCCGATCCACAAATAAGTAGAAATATCAAGTATACACACAAGGCACATCAACAGTCATAATGCCAAGCAAGACTTCAACAATTATACAAGTACGTCCTTAATCCCTTTTTAAATCTCTAGCATATCCTAGGTGCTCATGGTAACAAGATAATATAGAGAGTCATGTAAAATAAGCATGATGTGGGTCCTAAACTACCCGGACCATTAACATAGTAGTAGCTACGCACGGACTCTCGTCACCTAGCGCGTGCGTAGCCCCCGCATTTAGCAACAATTACTCAATTATTAATCCTAGGGGGACAGTTCCCTCTCACAAGGTTAGAAAGGAGACTCACCTCGCTCCAAAGCGCGCTCCCAATATCAAGAACAAGCCCAAGCTCTTAATTCGAAGCCGAACGATCGCAAACTAGTTAAAATAGGTAAGAACTAGTCAATAAAGGCTTAAAAGGCCAAATTCTAACTATTTAAGTAATTTCCCAACCTTTCCCACAAGTTTCCTAAATTTCGACCCGGGCCCACATGCCCGGAATACGATATTTTTTGAAGGAAATTGTTCTCTACAACCTAAGGATCAATAATATATAAATTCTAGCCCATTTAATAACAAATTACATGATTAAATCTTAGTTTTATTAAAACCCTAGGTCTAGCTCTAACCCTTTGATTTTACCTAATTTTTAGTGTTTAATCTACCTAATATACATGTATTTAAACTAAGGATGAACGGGGATTACTTACCTTACAATGCTATGCTGAAACCCTCTCTTTGGAAGCACCAAAATCGCCCTAGTGTGGAGTTGTATATGGAATGAATGACTTGGAGTTCGGATTAAATGAACTCTCTGCCCCCAGCGATTTCCGCTTCTGCGGCACTGCGACCACTTCTGCGGGAATCGCCTCGGCGGAAAAAGGCCCGCTTTTGCGGAAATGGCCCAAGAAGCCTGGACCGCTTCTGTGGTCAGGTGCCCACTTATGCGGGTCCGCTCCTGCGGATTGCAAGCCGTTTCTGCGGATTTGGGCCTAAGGAGCTGGACCGCTTCTGCGGTCTGGGGGCCGCTTAAGCGGGACCGCTTCTACAATCTGTGGGCCGCTTCTGCGATTTCCCCTGGGCCTGGCCCTTTCCGCTTTTGCGATGGCTGACCGCTTCTGCGGTCCAAGAACCGCAGATGCGGTTATGACAGAAGCAGCAAACTTCAGCTCTCTTCCAATTTTCTTTCTTCGATCGAACCTCGCTCGTTTGACGCTCGGGGCTCCCGAGCCCCGCCCGAACATACCGATAAGTCTGAAATCACGAGGCCGACCTACTCGAACCCTCGAAACTCCCAAAACAACGCTAAATCTCGGAATCACCCCCTAAAACCAAATGAATCAAACTATTGAATCTTCAAGTTCTTAATTCTCCTCTAACGGGTCAAAACGCCCTTAAACTACTCGGATTGACACCAAATTTTATGGAAAAGTCTTAAACGACATTACGGACCTGTACCAAGCTTCGGAACCAAAATTCGAGCCCTATACCTAGGGAATCAATGATTACTTAGTTTCTTTAATTCCTTAAAGCTTTAATTAAACAATTTTAGATAAAAATTCATTACTCGGGCTAGGGACCTCGGAATTCGATTCCGGACACACGCCCAGGTCCCATATTTTCCCACGGACCCTCAAAAATTGTCAAATCACGAATCCGGGCCCGTTTTCCCAAAATGTTGACCGAAGTCAAACTTGGTCTTTTAAGAAATCCTAAAGAAGCAAATGGGCATATTTTTACTCAAAACCCTTCCAATCCCCGAACCAATCGCCCCCGCAAGTCGTAAATTAGTTAAAGCAAGTACGGGAGGCTTTATTTAGGGGAACGGGGTTCTAAAAGGCAAAACGACCGGTCGGGTCGTTACATTCTCCACCTCTTAAACAAACGTTCGTCCTCGAACGGACATAGAAAAGTACCCGGATTGCTGAATAAGTGGGAATAGCTGCTCCGCATGTCCTCCTCGGACTCCCAGGTCGCCTCCTCGATCGGTTGGCCCCTCCACTGGACTCTCACCGCAGAAATCTTCTTGGACCTCAGCTGGCGATCCTGTCTAGCAATAATAGCAACTGGCTCCTCCTCATAGCCCAAGCTCTCATCTAGCTGAATGGTGCTAAAGTCCAACACGTGGGATAGGTCCGCATGATACTTCCGAAGCATCGAAACATGAAAGAGTGGGTGAACTCCTGATAAACTAGGGGGTAAGGCAAGTTCATAAGCAACCTCCCCAACTCTCCTCAACACCTCAAAGGGGCCAATAAACCTTGGGCTCAACTTGCCCTTCTTCCCGAACCTCATAATGCCCTTCATGGGCGAGACTTTCAAGAGAACCTTCTCGCCCACCATAAATGATACATCCCGTGCCTTCTGATCCGCGTAGCTCTGTTGTCTGGACTGAGCTGTGCGAAGCCTCTCCTGAATCAACTTTACCTTATCCAAGGCATCCTGTACCAGATCTGTGCCAAGTACCTTAGCCTCACCAGGCTCAAACCACCCGATAGGAGAACGACAACGTCTACCATATAAAGCCTCGTACGGGGCCATCTCTATGCTGGACTGATAGCTGTTGTTGTATGCGAACTCTGCTAGAGGCAAGAACTGATCTCACTGCCCTCCAAAATCAATCGCACATGCTCTAAGCATATCCTCTAAAATCTGCACCGTCCGCTCCCACTGTCCATCGGTCTGAGGATGGAATGCTGTGCTAAGCTCTACACGAGTCCCCAACTCACTCTGCACGGCTCTCCAGAAATGGGAAGTGAACTGAGGGCCTCTGTCTGATATGATGGACACCGGCACACTATGTAATCGGACTATCTCCCGAATATAGATCTGAGCATACCTCTCTGCTGTATAAGTAGTCGCCACTGGAATGAAATGGGCTGACTTGGTCAATCTGTCCACAATGACCCACACTGAATCAACCTTCCGCAAGGTCCGCGGTAGCCCAACTACGAAGTCCATAGTAATGCGCTCCCACTTCCACGCTGGTATGGGCATCCGCTGAAGTAGGCCGCCTGGTCTCTGATGTTCATACTTGACCTGCTGGCGATTCAAACATTTAGTCACATACTTCACTATGTCCTTCTTCATCCCCCGCCACCAGTAGTGCTGCCTCAAATCACGATACATCTTCGTGACTCCCGGGTGATTAGAATACCTCAAATTGTGGGCCTCTTGTAGAATCCGCTCCCTAAGACCATCAACATTAGGAACACATAGACGGCCCTGGAGCTGCAGCACACTATCCTCGCCAATAAAAACCTCCCTGGCACCTCCTTGAAGTACCGTCTCTCTGAGGACTGCCAAATGTGGATCATCATACTGCGGGCCTTGATCTCCCCCAATAACGAAGACTGGGCGACCACACACGCTAGAACTCGCCGGGCTCTGAAATGTCCAACCTCACAAGTCTGTTAGCCAAGCACTGAATGTCCAAGGCTAGTGGCCTCTCCTCTGCTGGAATGAATGCTAGGCTACCCATGCTCTCCGCCTTCCTGCTCAGGGCATCCGCGACCACATTCGCCTTGCCCGGATGATAAAGAATGGTGTTGTCATAATCCTTCAGCAACTCAAGCCACCTGCGCTGCCTCAAATTGAGATCCCTCTGCTTGAACAAATGTTGTAGGCTGCGGTGATTGGTGTAAACCTCACAAGGCACCCCATACAAATAGTGCGTCCATATCTTAAGAGCATGAACAATCGACGCCAACTCCAGATCGTGCACGGGGTAATTTTTCTCATGAATCTTCAACTGACGCGAGGCATAGGCAATAACTCTCCCCTCTTGCATTAACACACATCCCATACCAACGCGTGAAGCGTCGCAATACACCGTATACATCCCCGTATCGAAAGGCAATACAAGAACTGGTGCCATAGTCAAAGCTGTCTTGAGTTTCTGGAAGCTCTCCTCACAATCATCGGACCAAATGAATGGGGCACCCTTCTGAGTCAGTCTCGTCAAGGGTGATGCAATAGATGGAAAGCCCTGCACGAATCGCCGGTAATAACCTGCTAATCCCAGAAAACTCCTGATCTCGGTCACTGAAGTGGGACGAGGCCAACTCTAAACTGCCTCAATCTTCTTGGGATCCACCGTAATACCCTCTCCGGACACAATATGCCCCAAGAATGCCACTGACTCGAGCCAAAACTCACACTTGGAGAACTTAGCATACAGCTGCTGCTCTCGCAAGGTCTGAAGCACTAATCTAAAATGTTGCTCGTTCTCTCCCAGGCTACGCGAGTATATCAAGATGTCGTCAATGAAGACGATGACGAAAGAATCAATATAAAGCCTGAACACCCTATTCATCAGATCCATAAATGCTGCTGGCGCATTGGTCAAGCCAAAGGACATCACTAGGAACTCATAATGGCCATATCTAGTCCGGAATGCAGTCTTCGGAACATCCGAGTCCCGAATCTTCAGCTGATGATACCCTGACCTCAGGTCAATCTTAGAGAACACCCTAGCACCCTGTAGCTGGTCAAACAAATCATCAATACGAGGCAACGGGTACTTGTTCTTGATGGTGACCTTGTTCAACTGGCGGTAATCAATGCACATCCGCATGGTCCCATCCTTCTTCTTCACAAATAGCACTGGTGCGCCCCAAGGTGATACACTGGGCCTGACAAACCCCTTGGCTAACAACTCCTCTAGCTGCTCCTTCAGCTCCTTCAACTCCTTAGGAGCCATACGGTATGGTGGAATGGATATAGGCTGAGTGCCTGGAGCCAAATCAATACAGAAATCAATATCGCGATCCGGAGGCATGCCGGGCAGATCAGAAGGAAACACATCGGCGAACTCTCGAACTACTAGCACTGAATCAATCGTCGGAGACTCTGCAGTGGTGTCTCGAACATAAGCTAAGTAAGCCAAACACCCTTTTCTAACCATGTGCTGAGCCTTCAGGAAAGAAATAACCCTGCTAGGCATATCAACTGTGGAACCCTTCCACTCCAATCTCGGCGATCCTGGCATCACTAGTGAAACAGTCTTGGCATGGAAATCAAGGACAACGTGATATGGAGATTGCCAATCCCTGCCCAAGATGACCTCAAAATCGATCATGTCCAGCAACAGAAGATCTGCTCTAGTCTCGAGACCACAGAAAGTGACCACACAGGACCGGTAGATCCGATCCACAACCACAGAATCACCCACAGGTGTGGACACATGAACAGGAACACCCAAGGGCTCAGGAGAAATAACCAGGAAGCGAGCGAACATAGATGATACATATGAATAAGTAGACCCTGGATCAAATAATACCGAAGCATCCCTACCACCAACGGGAATAATACCTGTGATGACGGCATCTGAGGCTAATGCATCCGGCCTGGCTGGAAGAGCATAGAACCTGGCTGGAGCGCCGGCTGTCTGACCTCTACCTGACTGAGTAGTAGCTGGCTGACC